GCTTCCAGGCCCTGCCGCCGCTTATGTTCTGTGTCCTGCCGGGCCTGTCGAAGCCGGAGCCGGGCCGCCGGCTTCCCGCGTCTCTCCTCCGTCCCGGACCCTGGGATCCACTTTGTTCCAAAGGCCTTGGGTCCCCAGTAGGGGACTGAGCACAGGGACGGGCCCTTCTGTCACCTGTACCCTGCCTGGTTTTTGCCCCAGGCTATCCCAGCCGAGGGCTGTTACAATCTCTGCCTTCCTGCTTTTTAAATCCCTCCACACTGGGGTAAACAGAGACGCCTCATGCAGGGCCCTTTAATGTCGGGGGACCAGGCAGGGGTCCCTTGGCCCGCCCGACCTGGACGGCGCTGCACTCAGACCTCTGCCCAGCCCCCGACAGTGTCCTTTTTGTTCATCGAGTTTCTTCACCGGCTGAAGATGTCCACGGGGCTGGGCCCTCCCTCGGTTGCCCTGTTTCTCGCCCCACTTTCTTGTTCAGTGTTTCCATCGGCATCTGTGGGGCCCAGGGGAGGCCGAGACAGCAGATTCTTTGAAGGCCGTCCTGGAGGACGGGGTGAGGGGTGCGTGAAGCTCCCTGGATGGTTCTCGGCAAGGCCCTGTTATCTGGAGTTATTTCTAAATAGAGTGTTAAGGGGGAAAAGGGAGCTTTCGACCACAAAATGGGAAAAATTCGATGAGACGAAAATAAACCTTTGCCGAATCGGTCTCCAGAAATGAAATCGCAGCCCTGACCGATGCGGTGCCGTGGGTTGGGGTTGTCCCACAAAACCAAGGTGCCCAGTTGGCTTCCTGGTCGGGGCACAGGCTTGGGTCGCGGGCTCGGTCCCTGGTCAGGGCGCACGCGAGAGGCAACCGCTCGAGGTACTCTCTCACGTGACGTTTCTCTCCCTCTTCCTCCCCTCCCCTCTCTCTGAAAATAAACAAATAAAAAATATTTTTAAAATATTTCATTTATTTTTAGAAAGAGGGGAAGGGAGGGGGAGAGGGAGAGAAACAGTCAATGGGTGGTGGCCTCGTCCCAGACCGGGGACCCGGCCCGCAACCCAGGCCCGTGCCCCAACTGGGACTCGAGCCAGCGACCCTTTGGTTCGCAGGCCGGCGCTCAGTCTGCTGAGCTGCACCAGCCAGGGTGAAATAAAATATTTTTAAAAGAATAAAGACGAGGTAAAATGATGATCTTGCAAGCAGCCCCAGTGGACACGGGAAAGCGTCCTCCCAAAGGACAGCTGAGGGATGCAGAAGGCAGCTGATGAGCCCAAAGTGCAGCCCTTGGAAACCGCACCCGCGTCCTCCCCGCCAGCCTCCGCAGGGCACGGCGCCGCGTCCCCAGGCCCCGGCTTCCTCCGAAGAGCAAGCCCAGGCGCCCGCTGACTGCGGGCTGGAGGCCACCTCAGGGCCCGGCCACGTGGCTCCCAGCAGAGCTGCCACGCGAGCGAGCAAGAGAGGAGGAGAAGGGGGAAGCAGGCTCTTTCGCAGCCTCGTCTCCGTAGCGACATCCATCCCTGCGCCTTGGGAACCAAGGGACTCAGCGGTGAGGAGGAAGTGCCCTGGGGAAGCGGGACATTGTGACACCCGCCGACTGTTGGCTATCTGCAAAGAAGAGGCACGACCTGAGAGTGGAACTATCGGCTGCCACCCAGCTGTCCAGCAGCCCACCTAACGCGGGACGAGCCGACACCGCGTGCGTGGATGTTGGGTTCTTGCCCAAAGCGATAGGGCTCCCATCGGACCCAGCCTTCAGCGCCGACCTCCAGGGACGGGGAGACCAGGGGACAGAGGAGCACGTGGCTTGGCACCATGGGGAAGTGGCACCCAAGACCTGCAACCCTCAGGCACCTGACCCGGGGCCTTGGGCTCCTGAAGGAGCTCGGGTGGGGGAGGGTGGGGTGGGGTGACGGAGAGAAGGCTGAAGAGGCCCTAACGGGGGCCTGGGTGGCATCTCGCCTCGAGCAGACCAGCCGTGTAAGCCACTGGGGGACGTGGGACAGTTGACTATGGAGCGCGTTTCCGGGGCTGGCGGGGACTGACTGGACTCGGCTGCATGACGGGGGCGGGGGTTCCGCTGGAGGACATCGTTGTCGGGGCGAAATGCTGGACCTGGTGGACTGTTCATCGAGGGTGGAAGTGCCTGGACTTAACTTTAAAAACTTGCGGGCACGTGTACATTTAAAACGCGCACACACACACACACACACACACACACACACAGAAAGAGAGAGAGAGGTGGAGAGCTTCTAGGGAACCGGTCCTGCAGCTGCAGGCAGACCTGGCGCCAGCGGGCAGGTGGGCGGGCGGAGACCCGGGCCCGCCTCTCCACGGCCCGCCTCCACCCTGTGGAGAGTGGTCAGGGAGGCCACTCCGCCGGGCGTTCATCACGGCCACACTGCAGCTGCCCGGAGACACCCAGACCGGCGCCGGGCCGGACGGCCGCGCCCCAAGGCCTGGCCCAGGGCCTGTGAGGTGAGCCGACACAGCGGGGAGGCGTGTGTGCGCTGTAGCGTGGTTTCCACGCTTCTGTGTGGAAATTTTCGTTAACAGGGGAAAACCAAGCCACCAAAGGACGCTGGCTCAGCAGCCGTCCCTGTAAAGAACGTGAAGGGTCGGCCACACGTTAGGAGACAATGTTTACCGCCCGAAGGGGCAGCAGATGACTTCATCCAGCCACGCGTGAGCCCCTCCCAGGAATCAGCGCAGGGCGGCGTCCAGCCGGAGCGTGGGCACACCACCTGCTGGCAGCTCGCGGCACAGGCTCAGAGCGTCCGGCAAACATCAGCACACGGTGGACAGGTGGGAGGTGGCAGTTCAGGCCGTGGCGTGGTCCTATCTCACACCTGCTGGACTGGCAGAAGCGTTCCATCTGCGCCAGCCGGGTGCGTGCACCGCCAGTGACCGGCACCCGGCAGCCCCGCTGGGGATGGCCAGGGACCGCGACCGGCACACCGGTGAGCCAGAGAGCCGGCGCCGGCCCCGCCACACAGGCCTGCAGCCCATGGCTCCGCCCTGGAGCTGCGCCCGGGAAGGGGCGGGGCCTCGCAATCCAGCGGTGGCAGGGCTGTGCCCCCGGGGTCAGGTGCTCCGGGTTGGAGCGAGTGAGGCGGGTGATGCTCCAACAGCCAGTGAGTGCTCTGCCGGGCGCGCCCATTTCTGGTTTTCATTTATGTGTTTTTTAAATTTGTTAAAAAGATCCCATTTATTTTTAGAGAGGGGAAGGGAGGGAGAGAGGGAGAGAAACATACATGGGTGGTTGCCCCTCACATGCCCCCCACTGGGGACCTGGCCTGCAACCCAGGCCTGTGCCCTGACTAGGGATCGAACCGGTGACCCTTTGGTTCACAGGCCGGCGCTCGATCCACTGAGCCGCACCAGCCAGGGCTGTTTCTGCTTTTCTTTTTTCTTTTTTTAAAGTGGGTTGACCAAAAAGACCATTCAGTTTTTTTCTGTAAAATAAAAGACAGTGTTCATTTTCACCGATAGCTTTATTGACTTGGACATCTCGAGTGCGTCAGCTCTCCCGGGGTGGGGAGATGAGGATTGTTCTCGACTAATGGATGTCGCCATTGGTCGCTCTCTGCCTCAGCGGGCCTCCCTGAGTGCAGAGCATCATCCGGCGAGGAGTCTCCGACTGGCGTCCTGCGGGGGTGGCCCCGGGAACCAGTCAGCGGTGCCACGGGCCCCCCCTCAGACGGCACGGGGGACGGGAGGGGCCGTGCGTCCGTGGTCACAGCCAGTGAGTCGTCCCCAAAAGCTTGCTCTGGGCCCCGCTGGCCCTTCGTCCCCTGGTGGCAGAGCTCGGTGACCAAGAAAGAGGCCTCTCCTCTCCCGGCCCCATCCGGCCACCAAGGCCGGTGGGAGACCAGGGCCACGGGGAGGCGGCTCCCGCGGGCAGAGTCATGGCCTTGGGACCAGCAGCCGGAGAAGCAGCCCATGGCTTCGGGCGAAATTTCTTTTCCTGCTCGGCCTCTGCATCTTACAGAGTTTAACTGCGTTTGCTTTCCCTTCCCCTCTCTTTCCACCGCTGCTGTGCTGGTACTTTCTTCCCAGTTTATTTCGTGAGTCACATGATAACGAGAGGCCAAGTACAGGACCGGGGTGGGGGTTGCACCCGCCTGTTCCCAAACACAGGGCCCATGAGACGCTGGGGTCTCTCTCTTTGGAGACAAGGACCACGGTGGGAGGACAGCTCCTTACTGTGCAGGTGGCGCCCTTGTCTTGGGAAATGCACGTGCGGGAGACACAGGAGCGGGATTGGAGCGCAAGCAGCGGGCTGTGGCGGGTGCCAGTCTCTTCTTCGGCTGCCCATCCCCGAATGGAGGTCCCCCTCGGATGGCCGGGGTGGGCCAGGCCTGCGCCCCCTCTGTGGCCCGCCACCCCCGCCCCTCCGTCAGCTGTGCTGGGCCTCGCCGGCCTCGCTGGGGCAAAGCATGGCGGGGTTTGCCTCAGGGCTGCGGAACCTGAGCGGAGGATGCAACCTGCCTCTCCTCCCCGGGGACAGTAACAGTTCATCAGACGGGCAATGTGGCTGTCCGGTGGGACTGATGCACATGTCCAATGTGATGAGATTTCTCCTTAAGACGGGAGGGGGGCCGGGGGGGGCCTCGTCTGGCCACAGGATCGCGCCCTCAAGGGCCGAGCGTGGCTCCCGCCCGTGGAGAAGGGAAGTCAGCGCAACTCCCAGCGCAGGACTCCACGCACGCACCGTCACTGCCTTGGAGACGGGGGTGGGTGGGGGGCCACTTGAGAGCAGATGCCACGGTCCCAGGCAGAGAGCGGCCCAGCCCTGTCCACCTAGCGCCTCCCTGCGGAGCCCGCCAGGCCCCCCGGGTCCGACTCGGCTCCCAGCCTGCCCCACAGAGCCCGTGTGTGACCCCCGCCCCGTCTGCTGACATGGGCTCCCCCCCCCCCGGCATGATGTGCAGGGCCCGGCTCCCGTCCGCGAGGGGCGCACGGGGCCGAGGCCTCGGTAGGCAGGCAGGAGCAGGACAGGCGGCTGACGCAGCGCATCAGTGGTCCCGGAGCAGCCGAGGGCCGCCTGGGCGTCTGCTGGGGCCGAGGTCATCGAGCGGATGAAGGGCGGGCGCCCCCTGGGACCGTCGGAAGGCGCTGGGCTCCTGGGGCCGGCAGCCAGGGGCCCTGAGAAGCAGAGGGACGGGGCTGTTCCAGGACGTGGGGGGGGTGGGGCCAAGTGCCTGGGAGGGCGGGGGGTCCCAGCCGGCAGGGAGCAGGCAGGGACGGCTGAGTGGGCTGAGGTGGGGGTCGCTCGGCCAGGGTCCCTCTGCTCCCTGGGCACGGGGAGCTCTGGGGTCCCCCGGGGTCACAGGGGCTCTGGCATGGGGCCCCAGCAGCCCCTGTCTCCTGGCGCAGGTGGACATGGCCCTTGGGAGGCCCGGGCTCGGTCGGAGCAGGGCGGCCAGCATGCGGGCCTGGCGCTGTGCCGCGGCCCCCTCCCTCCGTGTGGCCGGGGTCTTCTAGGGCATCAGCCTGGCCGCGGTTCGGGGGCCCCATGCCGGGGGAGGGGCGGGCGGGCCTACCGGGGGCTCAGGGCGTACGTCCCTTTGCGGTCCAGGCCGCGACCGGAGCGGATGGCGAACCACAGGAAGGAGCTGAGCAGCATGGCGTACACCTGGGAGGGCGCGGCTCCTGCACCAGCAGCTCCCGGAGGGCTCGCCGCCTCCCCGGGACACGGCCCCCGCGCAGGTGCCCCGCCACCCAGGGAAGGAGGCAGGCAGCCCGGCCCCCCCAGGGTGGGGAAGGGACTGTGGGGGGGGCAGGTGGGCGGGTACCATGGAGGCGAGGCTGACGCTGGCCAGGACGGCGGCGATGTGTCCGTGGGTCCTCAGGAAGCGCCGGATGCCCTGCAGGCAGTCCTGGGCAGAGCGCGGCATGACGCCCCGTCCCCGCCCGCCCGCCCGCCCTTCCCCACCCCCGCACGGACCTGCCGGGGCCACCGAGGCCAAGGCTCAGGCAGCGGGCGACAGCAGGGGGTGGCACACCCCAGGACAGCCACCCGGAGCTCTGGGACAGGCGCTGCCAACGCGGATGGCAGGCCTCCGTGGGACCCCAGGGCCAGCAGGCGCCTCCCCCGGCCTCCCCGAGCGGCCTGTGCTGGGGCACGGTCAGGTCACACCTGGCTCCCCCAGGCCGGGAGTCGCTCTGGGTCCCCAGTACCCTGCCCGGGGCCGGGCACAGAGAGGAGGGCGCTGCCTAATGGGGAGAGGACCCTGGCTGCCCCAGGAGCCTGCTCCACCGCAGGCTTCCACTGGCCCCCAGGGCTTGGCACTGCAGAGGCGCTCTCTCTAGAGAAGGGCGTGATGCCCTCCCTGGCGCCACTCAGACGGTGCGTGTCGTTGGCATTTGCGGGGCTGGCTCGGGAGGCCGCACAGCCGGAAGGTGGGTGCAGCCCCAAAGGCCAGGACAGGGAAGGAGGGCAGGCTGGCTTGGTGGCTGTCTGTCCATCCATTTGTCCCCATGTTCCCTCTCACCAGGGCGTCCCTGCTCTGATCGACCGCTAGCCTGGCCCGAGCCCGGCCCTGCTCCCACGCGGGGATGGTGTCGACTTTGCTGCCCTGGAGGCCGGGACTCCTGGCTCCTGGGGCAGCCAGCACTCAGCTCTGTCCTGGGAAACAGCCCCACGGGTCCCGGACACGACCCCGCAGCCTAGCCGGGCAGCCCCCAGGAAAAGGGACCCGAATCAGCCCCGCCCCTCCAGGCGGTCCCTCTCGGAAGGCAGCTCTGGGCACCAGCACTGCCCGCCTGCCCCTCCCCCTCCCCCATGACGGCTCTGCAGAGAGCCTGCCCAGCGCCCTGTCCCCTGTCCAGGAGGCCTGCGCAGTCGGGCCCTCACCCCCTCACACCTCGCTGTGCGGATGGGGCACCTGAGACCTCTCCCTGGGTGGCGCGAACCTGCCTCATTGTTCTCAGCCCCCTTCCCTGCACGCTGAGCCGCCCCCTCCACCCCCGTCCTCAGCCGTCCAAAGGTGCTGTGCTGGCTGCATCCCCCTGGGCCTCGGCCACTTGCATCTTCCCGCCTGTTCTTGGAGGGCGGCCAGGAGCAGCAGCCCAGAGCCCAGGAGATAGGGGTGGTTTGTTTCCCGGACTGCGGGGGAGGGGAGCAGGGCAGGCGCGGTGGGGGGAGGCTGGCCAGCTGGAGCGGGGTGCCAAGTCCCTCTCTAGCCCTTCAGGAAGAAGGGGCTTCCGGCCTCTGCTCTCACCGTGGCTGGAGCCTCCAGCGGCCAGACGGGCACAGGCTGGCCCCAGGGGCGGTCACACTTCCCCTGTGGAACGCCCTCCAGCCGGCCAGCTCCTCGGGGCCCACAGGACGCTGTCACCTGCCCCCGCCCCCGCGCGGCTGACTGCCTCTGATCTGCAGCCTTCAGCCCCGGCCACCCCCAGCCCCGGCGTTTCTGGAGGCTTCCGAGGGCAGGGTCTCAGCGCTTGGCCTTGTACCTGGCCTCGGGGGGCCCGCGGCTGGGAGCTGCAGCAGCGAAGGAGCAGATGGGGCACAGGGCCTGGCCGGTGTCAGGGGTGGGCGCACCGGCCCGGCCACCCCTCCCTGCCGCCCCAGTCACCTGCAGCCTTCCCTGGGCCCGGCGGCGGGCAGGTCCCCCAGCATCTGGGGGAGACCCAGCGGTGCCCAGCGCCCTGGTCGGGAGCTCAGCCCCCTGCTCACGGCCGGTCCCCTCACCTGCGTGGCGGCTTCCTCTCCCCGACACAGGTCGGCCTCCACGCTGCCCAGGAGGCTGGAAGGAGAGCTCTTCCCACAGCACAGGAACTGCAAGGACAGACAGAGGGGGCCTGGCTCCCAGAACCCCAGGATCCCTGTTGGACGGACGGGGAAACTGAGGCACGGGAGTCCAGCAGAGCTGGGGACCCCAAGAGACCGGGGCAGGGGCTCAGGATGATGCGGCTGTCTCTGTGGGGGGCCTTTGCGCCCAGCAGGCTTCCCTGGGGACGGAGGGCCCTAACCCACGGGGCAGGCCCCCGCGGATGCGGCCAGCTTGCCTGCCGGCAGACCGCGCACCCTGGCCAGGGCCGGGGCCAGGGCCGGGCTGGCCTCACCTCGTGGGCTGCGACCCCCGCACTCACCCCGGCCCTGTCAATGCCGCGTCAGCAGCAGCTAGCAATTCTGAACCACGTTTGGACAGCGGGCCTTTCCTTTTGCTCTGGACCCCGCAAATCCGGTAGCGGCCTGTCCAGGGCGGAGGGAGGCGGGCGGAGTCCTTGTCCTCGGGACAGCGGTGGCCTGTGTCCTGGGGCCCCCTGCTCAGCCCCCAGTCCTGGCCGGCTGAGGGGGGCCATATGGGGAGGCTGAGCAGCCCAGAGCTGCCGGCGAGGGGGTGGCCCCCCACCATGCTCACCGTGTCCTGGATGGCCAGCAGTTCCTGTTGCCAGGCGCCAGACGAGCTCCTCACCGCCCGGTCGTAGGCCAGGTCGTAGGTGTCCAACACGGCATCCTCCACCTGCACCAGGAGGGCCTTGGTGAGGCCTCTGCGGGCGGGGCCCGGCCGTGCTGCAGACGGCCCGCCCCCCCCGCCTTCCGCTGGACAGAGCTGCCCGAGGGCAGGGCTTGTTCTCCCAGTGGCTGGCTGGCTCGGGAGCCTGGCCCTCCAGCTGGCTGTGGGTGCCACGCCAGCCCCCCGGCGGTCCTGCGGGATAAGCCGCAGGCCACACGCAGCTTGGGCCTTGAGGAGCGGGGAGGGCCGGCCGAGGAAAGAGGCCGCCTGCTTCCGTCTCCAGACACGGGCAGCGGGCAAGCGACGCCCGGCCTGGGCGGACCGCGCGTCCGGACCTCAGCTCCTCAGTGGTGCTCTGAGTGTTTCCCAGAACCATCCGGGGCATTCCGGAAAGGCCCAGCAGCTGGGCCCCTTGGCCCGGGAAGCCGTGGGCATTGCCGGGCCAGCGGGGCCCCTGGGCCAGACAATGGAGGCCGGGCCGGGCTCCGCCTCCACTCTGCACCCTAACATCACCCAGACCCCATGGCCTCTGCCCCCTGAGCACCCCCTTCTGTGCCTTTCCTCATGCTGCCCCCCCAAAACGGAATGCTCCTCCCTTCAGGGTACTCTTTCAAAGACCAACGGGAGCCTCGCTTCCTTCAGGAAGGCTTCCAGGATTGCGCAGGGGTTGCTGGTCTCCAGGCACAGGCGCAGCCTCGTTGAATTCCCCTGGTGCCTCCCCTCCCACTCGGGGACCCCGAGCCCTCCATCGTCCCCTCCCACGCCCGTGCCGTGCTGACAGCCGAGACTCACAGGCGGGCGCTCAGCGGCGTCCCAAAGGGCGGGGGCGAATGGAGGACCCAGGCCTGCTCTGGCCGCTGGCACCCGCCCTTCGGAAAGGAAGGGGAGCCGCCGCACCCACACGCTGGAGGCCTCGGGGGCAGCCAGCCGGCGGGCGGTGGGGCCTGTCCTGACCAGCCTTCTCCGAAGCCCCCGCGCCCCAATAAGAACCAGATGGCGTTCTGTCCCAAACAGCGCTTCTGGCGTCCATCAACCCCCCTGTTGAGACGCCGCCCAGTGAGTCATCATCCCAGGCGCGGCTGGCGGTTCCCTCCCCACCGCGTTGGGGCGGGGGTCCTGGGCTGAGGGGCCTGTCTCCTCTGGGGACCGAGGGTGCTGACGGGGGCCCTGGTGGGGCTGATCGGGGGTCACGGGGCAGGCAGCCATCCAGGTTCCGTCCCCCACCCCGCTCCTCTGCCCCCCCTTCGGGCCAAGCGGGCATCGCTGTAATATTGTCAGGGGGATGGCACTCGCTGTGGCTGAGCTGCCAGGTCCTCTCCATGGTTCCAGAAGCTGGGCCACAGAGCCAACTGGGCCGAGCCACGTCCCTTGCCCAAGGCCCTGGCTGGCCGTGGGGGCCAGGCTGGCTCTCCCCGCAGACCTGCACGTCCGGGGAGCCCGCCGCGCACTGCCACCGTCATGCTCGGGGGCTGCTGGTGGAGCCGGAGGCGGTGTTTTTCCCTAAGAAAACTGGGGGTGCGCCAGGGGTCTCAGAGGGGCCAGGTCCTGACACCAGGGCACCTCGTGCTTCTAGTCCATCTTCCAGAGCCGCAGGGGGCGCCCCCAGGGACCACTGCTCCCTGGACTGCGCACCGGAGACACTCACGCAGACCGGGTCCCCGGCAAGTCCGCGGCCCCTCCAGGCCCCAGGCCCGGCGGGCGACTCTGGGCTGCTCCCCCGCCCTGCGGACTGCGGAACCTGCGCGGGTGGCTCTGGGGTGGCCTGGGGGTGGCTCTGCAGCCCAGCCAGCTCTGACCTGAGCCCGCCTGGTGGCCGGGCGCTCTGAGAGAGGCGTGGCCTAGAGGGGCCGGGGGAGCTGTGAGGACAGCGACCTTTCAGCCTTCTCCTCGCACCAATGTACTTAATCTGCGGATGAATTATTAAGCGGAGCCCGGGAGTTCATTTCCGTGGCCCATCGTCTGGGGACAGGCGAGCGGTGGCGCTGGCTCTCAGGCTGCGGCTGGCGCGTAATTAATCGTCCTCTTGCTCTGCATTCATTGCACGGCCACCCAGTCCCCACACCCCTGGCCCTGGCCGGCTCTGGGGCGCCGGCCAGGGCCCCTCCCCGACCGCGCCGGGGGCCGCAGCCTGGCTCCTGGGCCGCCGCACGCAGACATGGCCGGTCCCTGCCCCCTCTGTCCTCAGGTCTCCCGTCCGAGCAGGGCCCTGGGCGAGCCACCCTGACCGTGTTTCAGGACGGCTTCGGGGGTCCCTGGGGGGAGGCATGGGGTCAGTGGGCCTGCTGGGCTCGGGCTCTGGGCCCCCAGGAGCACAGCTTCTCTGCTCACAGGACCTGCAGCGAAGGAGCCCGGCGGGGACCTGGCCTGGGTGTCCCTGGGGCCAGGACGCCCCTCCGCGTCCCTGGGGCGGCGGGCACGGGATGGAGGCTCAGCCTGCCCCAAGCACCACTGGGGCAGTCCCAGGACAGCTCTGCAGAGCCCTCGCGACAGAGGACAGAGGACAGAGGACAGAGGACAGAGGACAGAGGGCCGGCCTGGCTCGGGGAGCCCGTGGGCCCCACTCAGCCCTTCACACGCACGGGCTCGCCCCCACCCCGTTGCAGGCCCCCGGGGGGGTCTCCACCGACAAGGAAACAGGCCCTGGGAGGCAGGCTAGCAGCCAAGAGCGCTGGATGGAGAGACTGACCCCGGGCTTCGAAGCCAGGGCCGGGGACCCAGGCCAGGGCCACCTTGGGGCAGATGGGGGCCCAGGGTCAAGCAGGCCCCAAGAAGGGACCCCGAGGGCCAGTTGGAGGACGGACCACCCCAGGACGATTTTTGGGGGGGGGGGGGCAGTGGCAGGGTTGGGACAGAGAAGAGGCCGGTGACAGCCGGGAGCCATCGGCCTGTGCCCCTCCCCCGCCCTGAGCAGGGACCCAGCTGCGATGCCTGTGGCCGTCCCCTGCAGCACCGTGAACCCTGGGGTGGGGCTGTAAACACACAGGGTCAGAGACAAGAGGGAGGGGGCCTCAGCGCCCTGGGAGAGCCGGACGCGGCCCAGGGTGCTCTGGGAGCTGCCTTGGCCGGGACCACCCATGCGGTGGCCCGGAACGCTACTGGGGGGCGGGGTTGGCAAATGGGAGGCCGAAACGCCGGCCCACCCCCGGGCAAGACAGCTGGCCTGCCCCGCTGAGAGCTGAGGCTGCCTTTGGGGGGCTTCGAACTCCCCCACATCTAGGGGAGTGTCCTTTTACGGGCCCGGTCCCAGGTGCATGACCCCGAATGGCACTGGGGACGGTGGGCAGCTTGCGGCAGCATTGACGTGGGGCACAGAGCCCCAGACGTTGTGTGGATGGGGACTCCTGCCCGGCTCCACCGGGGTGACCCCTTCCCCCTCTCGGCCGGTATCCCCTCCTGTGTAGGCCGGGGGATGACCCCACATTCCGGGGCCTGGCCGCTCAGCCTCTTCGACCCCAGGAAGCACAGAAACAAGTCCTGCTTCTGAGGGCCAGGAGAGCGAAGACCAGAGAGGGTGGTCACACCCACAGGACACAGCACCAACTCGGCCCGAGAGTCAGCCTGCTCCCCTGGCCGGCTGCCCGCTGAGCCTCTCCATTTGGGGGGTGAGCAGCCAGACACCCTAATATGTGGGGGCCAGGGCTGCGGGGACCCCTGATACACAGGGAAGAAGCCATCGCTTGTCACCCGCTGTTCGCAAGGGGGTTCGCCCAGCAACAAAGTCCACTGCAGCTGGAATGTCTTGGTGTCCCCGGGCTGGTCCTTACTGAACATTTGGGAAAACTGAGGCCCAGCGGGAGGAGAAGGGATGGCTGGGGGTCACAGGGAGTCAGGGCGGACGGGGCCTGGGGCCTGGGCTCTCTTGTCTCTCTGGGCCCCACGCGCAGGCCCAGCGGCTCCTCAGGCTGCCCGGGGGTTCTCGCCCGGGACTGGGCTCCCACAGGCGAAGGCTGGGCCCGAGCTCTGCCACCAAGGTCTGTCCCCTTGCCCCTCCCCGGCTGTGGCCTCTCGGCCAGGGGGCAGCTGGGTCGCAGGGCTGGGCGGCATGGAGCGATGGGCCAGCATGAAAGCAGACATGGCCCCCAGCAGGAAGCTCCTTTGGGGACAGAGCCTGCATCCTGGTCCTGCGGAGGGGCCCGGGGAGGAGGCTGACCTGCCGGGGGCTCTGGGCCCAGGGCCCGGGGGAGGACCTTGGCACCGGCCTGCCTCGCTCTGTGTGCTGGCCTGGCGCCTGCCGAGGGGAGCCCCGAGCCTCCCTCCCTCGAACCCTCACGGCCCCCACCAGGTCCCAGCCCTGAGAGACAGAGGGTCCTGGGGCTGGGGCTGGGCCGGCCCCGCACGTGAGCCCCTCAGGGACCCCCTGCCCGTCCCTCTGAGCCTCTTGGGCACCCATGTCCTCTGCCCAGACCGGGCGGGCCTGGCCCTGTCCGTCCCCGGTCCCTGGTCTGGCAGGGGGTCGGCTGCCCTTCGGAAGGAGCCGGCCCTCCCGCCGGCAGGTTCTGGGCTCCTCCTCGGGCCCTGAGCTCAGGCAGAATTCCTGGCGGGCCACCGCGGCCCCGCGCCCAGGGCTGCCCCAAGCTGCCCCCCGGGTGAGCACCCACCGCAGACCCACAGCCGGCAGGCATCCAGCCCTGCTCATGTGGGCTCTCCATGGGCTGTGGCCCCGTGTGGCCGGATCACCCCAGGGCCCGCGCCTCCCGCCCTCCCTCCCTCGGAGCTGGGAAGGAGGGAGGGCGGGAGGCTGATACAGCAAGCCCCCAGGGGCACGGGCTGAGTGGCCGGATGGCCCCTTGCCGCGGAGACCCACCCCCACACTGCCCTGGGCGTCAGCGTCCCAGCCACCCCCAACACGACCGACCCCGGGAAGGAGCCCACATTCGGAATGGAGCCAGCCGGTCCCTCGGGACCCCATCTCCAGGCAGGTCGGGGTCCTGTGGGCGCCCCGGACACCCTGTCCACCCCATCCTCCCAGCAGTGACCCCCAACAAGGCATCTCTCCCTGCCTGGCGGGGCCCCCGTCAGGAGTACAGACCCGCTTAGTGAATCTTAGGGAACACTGACCCCTACCGCCCGCAAATCCCTCCCTCGGGCAGGCAGGGGTTTCCTTCCACTTGTCCCCCCCCCAACTCCCTGGGGCCGCCTTCCTGGCCAGGAGGGGGCAGGAACGTGGGGTGGGGGGAGGGGCCTTCATTGGGGGGCAGTCTGAGGCCTGTACCTGTCTTCCCTCCTTCCTTCTAGAGCTGCCGCCTCCGCCCTCTGGTCCCTGTGCCCCCACCCCACTCCCAGGCAGACAATGTCTCCACAGTGGTCCCCAAACACCCTCTTGTCTCTTCTCTGGTGATGGGGGGTAGGAGGAAGCATGGAACTGACCTTCTCGTCACCATTCTGGGACCCTCTGCTGGGCGACAGGGCAGGGGCGCTCACCTGGGTGGGGCTGCGGAGTCTCCAGAAGACCACCTGCACCAGGACGCAGAACACCAGCGCAAAACACAGGAAGCCCTGGGGAGAGGAGGCCCGTCACCTGCCACCGTGTGGCCGAGAGGGGCCCGCCGGGCTCCCTCTGGGCCGAGGTGCCCCGGCCCACTTCCCCACAGCCCAGGCAGAGACCTCGGGCGCTGGGCACACGGGTTCCCACCCTTCCTTCCGCCCCTTTTCGGGAAGCCTTCTGCTGTTGCTAGTTTTCGTTCCCAGGGCCTGTCGCTGATGGTGCCAACTCGGCCCAGGGAGGGACTGAGAGAGCCCTCCTGCCCACTGGGGCTGCTGCCAGGAGGGGCGCTGACCCGGGAGGCCCAGGCGGAGCCTTCCCTGGGCCTGGGGTGGGGATCTGGGAGCACCTCCCCCGTGCGGGGTCCGGGCGCCCTGAGCAGGACAGCCGGCTTGGTTTGGTTTTTGACACCTCTACAGCTGGGCTCCCAGGGCCTGCAGCCCTCAACCCTGGGAGCTGAGATTTGGACACACCCAGATGGTGTGACCCCTGCCACTCCCCACGCCGCAGCGGCTCTCCCTCCCTCCCTCACACCCTGCTCCTGCCAGTGGCCCATGGGCACCGGTCCCCTCGCCCTTGCGCAGCCTGGACCCGCACACGAGGGGACAGCAGCCCTGGGGGAGCACGGCCCCGTCCCCAGCCCGCTCACTGCGCCCTCTTTCTCTGCACCAGGGGCTCTGAGCTTGCAGAAGCCACTGAACATGGGGGACCCCTCCCCTGAAAAGGACACTTGTGCCCAGGCGCTCTTTGCGGGAGGTTTCAAAGGGTCACCGCCAACTCGGAGCCCGGCCTGGCTCTGTGCGGTCAGTCCGGCCGCTGACGGCGCACGCGGTGCCTGCAGGGTGTCCGCAGGCCCGCAGCCGCGGTCCGGAGCAGGCCCTCCGCGGCCTGAGCGTGTCTTCCGCCCGTCCTCCCCCTTCCGGGTCAGGCTTCTGTGCTCGGGGTGGCACAGAGACGCCTGCTGACGCCCACGGACGCACGGACACTGGCCAGGCCCGGCTCGGAGGAGGAAATAGTCCCTGAGCGTGTGTCGGGGGGTGGCTCTGCGAAAGAGGGGACCACCCACCAGCCCCCAAGCTCGGGTGCGGGCACCGGGGCCCCACTCTGCCCCGTCCTCCCGCCCACCTGGAAGTCTTCAGGCTGAGTCTCAGGCCGGCCTTGTCTCAGGCCGGCCTTGAAGGTGCCTCCTGCTTCCTCTCTGGCCCTTCCCCTCCCCCTCTTCAGCGCCCTCCTCCCCCCCTGGCTGGCTGAGGGCCTCCTTCCCATCTGGAAACCATCGCTCGAGGCTGCCTCCCAGGCTGGGGCCCCGAGCCAGCTCAGGGGACCAGCCTGCTCCAGAAACCGTTTCATTCCTAGGAGAGAGCGTGGGCCCTGCCTCTGCCCGCTGGCCTGCCCACCGCCCTGCAGAGGTTGTCCTGGGCAGAGGGCGGACCCACCCAGCCCCCCAGGCCTCCACCGCTGGGCACCGGCGGCTGGTGAGGCCGGGCCCAACCCCGGCCTTCTTCCTTCTCTCACTAAACACAAACACGTAAATAAATCGCAACGGCCTCCTTCAGCCACCCTGGCAAGCCGCGCGCTCTCAGCCTGGGAAGCACGCTCGTTTCCTGTTCGAGAGGCCAGTCTGGGGAGAGGCCGGAGGGGGTGGGGGCAGGAAGCGGGGAGCATCCTGCGCCTGTCCCATCGGTAACCATCTCCAGCCCCCTCCCACGCGCGCACACACGTGCACACACGTGCACACAAGTGTGCGCAGACGTGTCAGATGCAGCGCGTGCACGCACACGCTCCGCGCGCAGGTGTCTGAGAGCCAGGGTGCCCAGCGCCCCGCAGGGCCAGGCTGGGGACCGTGGGCGCAGCCACCGCACAGACCTGCTGGCCGTCCCAGGATCTCCCTGAAGCCCCGCCCCCAAGTCAGGGCGCAGAGCTGGACAGGGGTCAGGGGACGCTGGGGACGGCCCTGGTGCCTGGCTGGGACGAGAACAGGCCTGAGTTCGCGAGACCAAGCCTGGGAACCAGGGAAGAGGCGACCTCGTTTGCCTCCTTCAGCCGGCGCCACGGCGCCCCCTGGCGGCCGCCGCCGCACTCCCCGCCCCAAGCCCGGCGCGCCGACGTCACCTGGACCCCTAGGCGGGCCCTGGGGCAGCCTGTCCTACTGTGCGCCCCTTTGTCAGGCCCCACAGCTGAGGGCTCTCCTCTTGGTGGTTGGGTGGGGCAGTCCCCTGCCCCGTTGGCTTCCCACCCTCTACTGCCTGGGCCAGCGATTTTCAACCTTTTTCTACTCATGGCACACACAAACTAAAATTCTGCGGTACACCAAAAAATCAATATTTTTTGTCAGTCTGGTGGGGAAAAAAGGTATGATTCTGATTTATTCCCACTGGACGGCTGTTGTTGTGTTGGCCGTGGTGGGCTTTTTATTCGACAGTCCGGGGGACGGGAGGTCAGGGCCCCGGACTAGCCAGGTGCGGCCGCCCGTCCCTAAGATTCTCCGGGCACGCCGGTGCGCGGCGGCGGCCGGCTGAAAGTCGCTGGCCTGGGCGCGGGCCGCCGTCCTAGCAGGCAGACACCAGGCCCGCCCCGCGCTGCCGGCGGTGTCCTGCCGCATCCCAGCCGCACCCCGAGCACAGCCGGGGCGGCTGGCCTGGGGCCGCAGCCCCTGGCGGTGGCCCTGGCCTTGCCCTTGGAGCCCGTCACACCCAGGAGTCGCTCAACAAACACTGGTGACACCGGTGGGGCCGAGAACCCTGGCAGTCCTGGGGCTCAGCGGCCACCTGGAGAAGGACAACCCCCCGCCCTGACGCCCCACACGAACTTCCAGGGGTCTCTGGCCCCAGGGCTGAGGGCAGCAAAGAGGGGGCCTCCTGGCTGGAATGGAGGGAGGGGGGCTGGACGCCAAGCACCAAGTACGTGCCAGGTGGTAGCTGGGGGTGCAGGTGAGACCCCAGGCCCCGGTTGCGGGGGGCGGGGCTCGAGCCCCGCGGGGAGGCGGGGCCGGCAGGGGGAGCAACAGCACAGGTCGGGCGGGGACCTAGGTGGGCCCTCGCGGAGGAGCAGCTATGGGGACACGAGGCCACTGCTGTGGGGCGAGATGCGGGGGCGTGGGGACTCCCTCCAGCGGCTGCGAAGGGCAGCGTGGAGCTCAGAAGGACCCGGCCTGTAGTCCCTGCTGAGGCGACTGCAGGCGCCCAGATCTGCAGGGATGGGGGCGGTGGGCAGAGGGGCCTTTCCTTGCCACCGTCGGCCTCTTCGCAACAGGAAACGAAATTCACCGGAAACCCCAGCGCCTCCTGGGTAACAGAACAGAGGCTCCCTGGGCCTTTGGGAAAGGCTCCAGGCCTGGGATGGACGGCTCTGCCTACCCGGGGCGAGGAGGTTGCAGGGTAGTAGGGCCTGGGGGCGGGGCCCTCGCCCGAGTCTAGGGGGCGGGGCTCTGGCTGGTGTCTAGGGGGCGGAGCCCTGGCTGGTCCGGGGCGGGGCCCTGGTGTCCCGCATCCCTCAGTCCCTGTCCTCCGTCTGAACACGCAGAGAGAGGCTTATAGCCCTGCCTTTCTTGGTTCCAGTCTGGGATCTTGGGGGTGCGGGAGGCATGGAGGACTCACCCCGGCCATGAGGCCCCCGGCCTCCCGCACAGTGGCCGCGGCACTCAGCACAGCGCCCAGGCTGAGCAGCCCGGCCAGGCCGATCCCTGCGAAGAAGGCTGGGTGGGAAGAGAAAGGAGCAGGGTTAGGGGGTGCCCAGGCCAGGCGTCCCCACTGCGCAGAGCCTGGCTCTGAAATCCACCTGAAGTGGAGGTGTATGTGCTGGACTTTGGGGGGCTCTGAATAGGCCCCGTCTCCGTATCAGGACCAGACGTGCCTCTCATCCCCTCAGGCCCCCGCCTCTCCTCCCTCTCCTCCCGCACACTCAGAAGGACACCAGGAGGAGCCGGCCCTGCCCCCCGCCCCCCACCTCTGCTTCCTGCCCCTCTGGCTGGGGCTATCTTTGAAGCCACATCCCACCCCCTTCCCAGGCCCTAGTGACAGCTGGCCACGTGGGGCTATAATCTTATCAGTGCCGACCCAGGCACCCTGCTCCAGGGAGGCTGGGGCTCGGGGTTACGGCTAAAAAGTGGCGTCTAGGGGGCACAGGGCCCGGGGCTGGGACTACCACCCAGCCCAGGGGGCCTCAGTTTCCCCACATCCATCCTCCTTGGTGCTTTCACCTAAGGTTCCAGCCCCTGGAGGGACATTGTCCCTTTGAGCTGTTCAAAGGGACACCTGGGGCTGAGCCCCTTTCTGCGGGAGCACCCCCTGCAGGACACAGAGGCCAGGGTCTGCATGCCACCTGACACACTGTCCTCTGGCTCCCAGGGAGGGTCTGCAGGCCCCAGGCTCTGTGCAGCGGGCCCCAGGCAGCCCCTCCGCCCCGGACCCTGCTTCCCGTCCCTGCCTGGCTCCACAGGGGGGCCTCGCCCCAGCCCAGGGATCCTCCCCAGCTGCCCTGGCACCTGAAATCCCGCCCCTCCGACAGTGGGCGCCCAGGGCTTCACTTACCCCAGCGGTGCAGGGCCTCGTAGGGAGACCCCTCCGGAGACACACGGCTGATGACAGCGAAGTGGGCCCCGAAGTGGGTGAGGGCCGCCATGATGGCCACGAAGAGGCCCAGCAGCTGGAGGGGCAGACACAGAGCGCGGGCAGGGCTGGCGCATGCCCAGCCCCAGTTGGGCCCCCCGCCGGCCTCCCTCCAGCTTCCTGGTCTCACGCAGCACAGCCCCGGCTTCCGGGTGTCCGTGGGGGTCTCAGGGAGGCCTTTGCCCCGACACCCCCCAACATGCACACACGCGCGCACACCCCCTGGCACTCACACACAAATGTGCCGGCACCCGCCCTGCTCACCCTCCCCCCGCCCCCAAAGACACCCCCCATTGTTGGGTTTCTCCAGGCACCAGGGGCCCCGGACCGCTCGGCCACGTGGGGAGCGGGCCCAGCCGAGCCCCAGCACCCCTCCCCGGGCGTTGCTGCTCCGGCCCCGTCCACAGCCCCCCGGGGCCTCCTCCAGGCCGCCGTCCGGTGGGGGGGCGGCCACCCCAGCAGGCGCTCGAGGGCGCCCACCGCCAGGGACCCCAGGGGCCTGCCCACAGGGCCCACAGGGCTGGTACTGGGGGCCTGCTGTGCCTGAGGTCCAGGTACATGGCTGCCACCCCTCGCCCCTGACGCCCCACCCCACGCCTTCCCGCCCAGCCTGCCTGTTACCAGGACAAAGAAGCTGGTGACCAGCATCTGGCATTTGGCCGCCCTGACTCGACTCCAAGGGTCCATGGTGGTCTCTCCTCCTCTGCCTTCCTCGGCTCCTCGCCCCTCCCCTCCTCTCCCCTCTCCTCCCTTCCCCTCCCTTCCCCTCCCCCTGTGGTTTCCAGCTGGGTAGGGGCCCCAGACCGCAGCTGCCTGCCCAGGAGGTAGGCTGCGCCCGCCCATCTGTCTGTCAACACACCCTGAGAACCGAGCGGCTGGGTGCCCAGGAAGAAGGGCATGCAGGAGGGGGAGGGGCGGCGAGGCAGCTTCTGCCACCCCCTGCTGCCCCAGCCCTGGCCCTAGACACCAGGACATTTATGGACATCTGAGACCTGCCCCAGGAGAGCGCGGCCTTGTTCCTGGTGTGGCCACAGAAGACACCTTGGGAGGAGGGGAGCGTGTAGCAAAAGGCAGCTGGGTAGGGGGTGAGCTCCCTGTCTCGGGAGTGTGCAAGCAGAGGCTGGCCCTCTGGTGCGTCCTGCCCGGACCTTAATCCTGGGAGGCACCTGGGAGGCAGGTCTAATCGGAACATCGTTTTTGAACCTTGTCTTACATAACACCATTTGAAACGTTCGGTGACAACTAAATTTTTGAAAAAGTAATTTGATTTTTGATGCTTCGGCGGCACAAATGAGTAATTTGGAGCCGCGCCATCTTGAGGACGCGGGGAGGGGGCTCACGCACACCCACACTGGGCCTCCGACAGAACCCACGGAGGGGCGGAGCTGCCAGCGCAAATGCACGCAGGTCGTGCTGAGTGACCCACCGTCTGTGTCCAGTCCCGGCCTGTTTGCACCTCGGGGGCCACTGCCGACGGGGTGGGGCCACCTGTGTGCGTCTCGCCTCCCCTGCTGGAGTTGCCCCCATTCTGTGTCTCAGAATGTGGGGCGCTCCTGGTTCTGGGGGGACACGAGAAGATCCCCCACGCGTGGCCCAGGCTGGGGCGCGGGTGTGCCCCGGGGGGCGGCCGAGCGCCTAGGCTGTGGGACTGGGCAGCCCAGCGCCCTCTCCGGGGACTCGCTTCCCCGGCGCCGGAGGGGGCCACGCGGTGGCACGGGGCATGGCCAGCGTGCCGGGCGCCTGGGCACCGAGCGTGGAGGAAAACATTTGGAATGGGAGCCAGGCCGGGGTCCCACCTACTGTGTGCCCAGCACTTTCCAGAGGTGACCTCGAGGTGTCCTCCCAAAGTGGCACCAAACCCTTCTGTGGGCACATGTCATAAGAAGGCTCGCCCAGGGACCAACCACGTGGGGGCTGACCAGGCCCCGACCGCAGCCCCGTTCCCCGGTGCCCGCAGGCTGGTGAGGGTGCCCGGCAGGCCTCAGGCACCACGGCGCTCGCCCATGAGCCCCGCCCCCCCCAACACTCGCTCTGCAAGAGCAAACAGCACCTAAGAACGCTCCTGGCCCTGCGCAGCCCTGGGCTGCTCGCCCCTCCTCTCTGGACACCGGGGGCGGCCTCCCACCCCCAAGGGCGACCGGTGGGCCAAGGAGGGACCCTACCATGGCAGCTGCAGCCCCAAGGGGCTAGCCCAGGGGCACAGAGTCCCCTGCCCTGAGGATCAGGCCTCCCACCAACAGGCCTGGGCTGCCGCCTGTCTAGGAGATACAGGGCTTTAATTCGTGCACACGAGAGTGTGCATGTCTTTGCGTACATGTGTGTGCATGGGTGTGTCACACACACATGCATGTGTTCACGGGCCGATGTGTGTTTCTGTGTGCAGGCGTGTGCATGCAATCACACGCCTGTGTGCGCACATGTGTGTGCTTGCATGTGGGCACCTCTGAGTGTGTGGGCGCATGCACCGGTGTGTGTGTGACATGTTATTCGCCCTTCAGGGACCTCCTTGTCCTCCCTCCTCCTCCCCCTCCGCTAATAATGAATTGGTTCATTGAAAACTGTTTTGGCACAGGAGCCAGCTGAAAGAGCTCCCAGGGGCCAAACTGAAACAATCGAGCGGTAAAACCGGCACCGTCGTATTGGACTATCACCCACCGAGTCGCCCGTGCAGGAGCATCCCAGGTGCTGAGGGCGGGCACCCCGCTGGGGCGGGGGGCCTCACTGCCGCCCCGAGAGGGGCTGGGCACCGCCGCCGCCTGCCCTGGAGGGCGCGGGACGGGCCGGCGACGCCTGAGCAGCACGCCTCGGCCCGGCGGGGGCGGCCAGCCTCCCGGGGGCCGGTCCCGTGGGGAGCGCGCGCCCCGATGTGACCAGGTGCATCCTCGCCCGCACCCGCAATACCAAGCTAACAGTGATGCCAAGCCCCCTAGGGGACAGCCTGCAAACGCCGGCCAGTCCTCCTCAAGACTGTCAGACAGAAGCCGTCCCAGCCCAGGGGAGCCTCGGGGGACGGGGGCCTGTGTGTGGCGTGGGGGCCTGCAGGGGTCTTGGGGCAGAGGAGACGGGGGGAGACTGCGGGCACCGAACAGAGCACGGCCGTAGTGAACGACCGCGGATGCGCACCGACTGACTTGCTGTGACAAACGCCCACACCCACGTCAGATGTTAGTACGGGGGGATCTGGGTGTGGGGTGCTGAGAACCCACTGTGCAACGTCTCTGTGAGCCTGAAACTGTCCCACGTGCATTTCATTTGAAAGCCCAGCGTCATCGCTCACCTCAGTCTCACAGCACGAGGGCAGCGGGCATTCGGAGCCGGCGCAGACCCGCTACTCACCGGGCCCCGGCTCTGGGCTCCGAGCCTGCCTGCGCCCCCTGCCCGGCCCCGATTGCTCACCCACTGGGACGCCCGCTCATCCAGGGACGTCACCTGCCCACCTGCCCACCTGCCCAGCTGCTCACCTGTTTCCTCGCCCACCCGCCCGTTTCCTCGCCCACCCGCCCCTCGCTTGCTCGTTTCCACGCAGCTGTCCCCTCACTCAGCTCCGCGCGTGCTCAGCGGGCCGGCAGGCTCTCCGCCTGCTGCAGTCTGGGCTCACGGAGCAGCTGCCTCCGGGAATCCGGGGTGAGGGGCGGGACTCAGCTCTGCCGCAGGCCCTTGTCACCCAAGACTGCTTCCCGGGGCCAGGAGGTGGCAGCCTCCACCCTCCTAGCTCGTGCTGAGGGAGCCCTTCTTCCCAGTCAGTGAGCTGGGCCCGCGGCCTGGAGCGTGAGCGGCCCCTGCGCCCAACCCCAAGGGCTTGGCCGGGTGGAGGCCCGGCCCCGCCTGCCCAGGAGGCCACAGGTCATCACCGAGGTGTCCTGGGGCCGTGAGCACATCATCTTCCTGTGCCCCTGTGTGCGGGGCTCTGCTTGCGCACCCCTCCCTCCCTCCCTCCCGGGGCCACCACGGGTCTTTACTGTCGGTCTGCCCGGCCCGCACAGCGGAGCCGCCCTGCCCAGCGCTCCTCGAGCTGGAGGGGCCCTGCCGTCGGTTCTGGAGGAAGGTGCGTGCAGACTCCTGCCCCGTGGGACCGGCTGCGGCCCTGAGGCAGGCTCCCCGGCGTTTCTCCCTTACTTTGCGGTGAAGGAACCGGATGTGACCGGGGCCCCCAGCTTTCTTCTCCGCTCCTGCTCCCCCACCATCCCCGTCTGCGGGTTCCCCGCCGTCCACTCTCCGTCCCCGTCGGTCCTCGCTGCCCAGGGCTCCGCACGGGAACGGGATCGGTCGGGAGGGCCCGGCAGCGCCCGGAGCGGGAGGCAGGGACGTGCCTTTGCTTGCAGGGCTTAGCAGCAGTGCGCTAGGTGGAGCGCGGCTTGGCTTTGTCTTTATTTGGAAGGTAAGTACAGGAGGCGAAGGTGTACGTGGGGCGGTGTCCGCCTCCATTTTAGGAAGCGTCCAGTACGGGCACATCCACAGAGACAGAGGGGCATCAGCGTGGCCTGGGCTGCGAGGGAGACGGGGGGCGGGGGCATGGCTAACGGGCGTGGGTTTCCCTTTGGGGCACCGAAACGGTCCTGGAGCTGGACAGTGCCGCGGTCGTGCGGCTGTGGATGTCCTGCCAGCCATTGACCCGAGCACTGGACACGTTTCTTTATTTTCTAATCCTCACCCAAGGATATGTTTATTGATCTTAGAGAGGGAGGAAGGGGGAGAGAGAGATAGGAACATCGGAGTGAGAAACATTCATCGGTTGCCGTCGGTTCCCCACGGGGGAGCGAACCTGCAACCTTCAGGTGTACGAGACAACACTCCAACCTACAGAGGCACCCGGCCAGGGTGACCTGAGGACTTTAAAAGAGTGAATGTTGGGGTATGTGAATTGTCTCAATAAAGCTGTTCTTTTTGTTTAAAAAAAAAAAAGTGAGAGCCAGAGAGATGCCTGTGAATGCCGAGGGCAGGGCAGGGTGCTGCCGCGTGGGGTCACTCGCCGCCCCCTCAGGCGACTGGGAAGGGTTTCCCAGGATTGCACTCCCTGCCCAGCTCTGGTGTGTGCGGGCCGTGGCCCAGCTGTGAGCCGCGAAGGTGGAAGTGAAGCCACGGCATCTTTTTACGCTCAGGAAGCTGGCTGCTCGGCGGACCAGGGCTTGTCCGGGATCCCCCGGCTCACCTGGCGGCGCCGGCCCGGCCGTCCCACAGCCCAGCACCGGACACAGATGGTCACTCTGGGTCCTGCTGCTGTGATGGGCGTGGCTGACGCAGCCTGGGACCTCCCCCCGGCCCCCGTTCTCCCTGCTCGTCCAGTTGGGAGCCCCCGTTTCCCTGGCTGCCGTTCCCCGGACGCCCCCGGCTCTGTGCCCAGCAGGACACCGGTCCGGGCCTCTGCCTCCACCCTGCGGCCTCCAGCCAGTCGGGGGGAGGGTGTCCCTGTGCCTCTCAGGTTGGTGGCGCTCTCTGTCCTGCTTTCCGTGTCGCTGACTTGGCTGCCATTCCTCGGTCTGCTGCTGACTCCGCCCACTCTGCCACTGGCTGAGACAGTGGGGTTCCCCAGGAATAGAGGTGGGCCCCCTTTCCCTTCCAGCTCTGGCTGCTGCAGTGGTTTAATCCTTTCCTGTGCATGTAAATGTCCAAGATGCTGGGGCACTGCCTTCCCGCCTCCCGCCCCATCTCCATGGGCTTGATGAACCGGGGAGCCCCCGCTGGGTGGG